TTTTTTTGTCTCTGGCCAGCTAAAAAGTAAAGAAACAGAAGCAAAAAGACAACCAGACAAAAACAACCTCTTCTACTTTGCCAAACAAGTCAAGTTAGTGGGATTTCAAATCATGAAACCAGGGAGGTTGTTACTAAGCTTCACACTTGGGTCTCAGTGAATTCTGCTGATTTTTCCTCCCATGCTTTGCTGGGCTTCAAGGAGCTTTACCGGTTGCAGATACAAATACAGTTATTGGAAGAGTTAGTTACATCCAGACAGAATTTTTTAAAGTAAATCTCAGGAGATGAGTGGATATGAAGAGAAGTTCAGGAATCTTAAAACTTGAGAAATATTGAAAACGATGTGGAAATCATCCTTTCTTATGCACTACTAGTATTAATCTCCCCAATCATTGTTAGCATCTTTTTTCTTTAATTATTACAAAGTCAGATATACAGAGAGGAGGAGAGACAAAGAGGAAGATCTTCCATCCGATGATTCAATCCCCAAGTGGATACAATGGCTGGTGCTGCACCAATCCGAAGCCAGGAGCCAGGAACCTCTTCCGGGTCTCCCACGCAGGTGCAGGGTCCCAAAGCTTTGGGCTATGCACAGCTCCTTTCCCAGGCCACAAGCAGGGAGCTGGATGGGAAGTGGAGCTGCTGGGATTAGAACCAGTGCCCATTTGGGATCCCGGCGTGTTGAAGGCAAGGACTTTAGCCACTAGATCACGCCACCGGGCCCTGTTTGTATCATTTTAAGAAGCAGCATCAGGCCTTTGGTTAAATGAAACTTGTTCTGTAGTTATGTTTATTAAGTTGATCATTTGGAATATAATTTCAGAAATACTTTTTGAGCATTGCTTCTGTCCACCTCATTCTTGTTCAACTTCCTTTAATTTCAAGCTTTCTTGATGGCTAAAACAATTAAGAGGAAATAAAATGGAGAGAACAGACCTTCTCAGCCCTTCACAAATGGGGATAATAATGGAAACTTCTCAGAGGGCTGTTTACAGAAATAGTTGAGTCAATTTAAGTAAAGCTCTTAGATGATTGGCACATGTTATGTATTAGGTAAATATTGTAATAATTATTATTAAAATCAAGATAATTATTGTTCTTTCAAGTTTTATTCTTGAGATCTGAATGCACTGGGTAGTAAGTACATTGAAACAGTCACTTACCAATCCTCAGCCTCAATTTCTTTGAGTATAAAATAAAAATATACTTTTTTTTTTTAACTTAAATAGATCATGTTTGTCAAAAGGCTTCATAAGCTACAGAACAACACTGCCAGGAAACACCTTGAATCTTAACTTTAAAAATAACAAGTTTGAATCTGATTCATGTCCTAGTAGATAAGACACTAGGGTTGAGTGCTTCTCCTTGCTGTTAAAAACGATAATGGCAAAACCACTTTATCCTGAGATGACTTATAACATGGCTGATATTTAGGAAGTATTTTGAATTTAAGAAAAACTAAGCAATTGGTATAAGAAGCAAGTATTTATATTTATTGATTATTATACTCTGGAAAGTGCTAGATGTATATTATACACACAGAGATATATAGGTGTTTTGAGATTTCCACAGAAATTGCTAAATACTTTATGCCAGCCAGTTCCAATATTTAGTATTCTTGTTCTTAATTTCCACATTGAATCAATCTAAAAAATATTATAGCTTGTGCATATGGAGGAAGGAAGGATTTAGATAAACACAAGAAATGCATCAATGTTAAAATCCAGCCCATTATGATAAAAAGAACAAGCAACTTTGCAAATACTATTATTGTAAGACATGTGTATCAGATAGTTAGGAATACTGCATGTTTGAAAAACTCTATCAAGTAGGGGTAAGAATTAGAGAGTGAGAGTCCAATCAACCAACTCAAAGTAAGACAAAATATAATAAATGGTCTAATGGAATAGTGACATTGACAGCTTTTCAGAACTATCAAAATCATTTGCGCAGAACCCTCAGAGTACGCTCCACACTGGGGGACCCTGGGATGACATGAGGTGGCCATTCCCTATTGCAGGGCACTGGGGAGCTTCTCTGTGCAGCTTCTCCCCTTATCTCCTCTCTTCCCCCAGACACAAGAAGAAGAAAAAGAAAATTTGAAAACAATGGTTTCACCTATGTTCCTCTGATCCTCAGCCTTTTCCACCCTAATCAACTATGTAAAAACATCAGCAAAATAAATTTTTAAAAATAGTCTTATTAACCAGGACAGGGGCTCAGGAGGAATGGGCTGTGGGACAGATTTGACTACTGCCACACATACTGGCAAACCAGGGTAGGAGGCGGGCCTGGGTGGGGTTATTGTGGGCCTGGGTGGGGTTATCGTGGGTCTCTCCAACTAGGCTGCAGCTCACACTTATTTATGCGAGCGCCGAGTATGTGCTGGGCAGAACCAGGCTGGACTGAAACACCCATTGGTTCCAATGGAAGGTGGGACTGAAAACAGAATCAACCCAGCAATTGCAAACACCAGCTGATCAGGACGATGGTCTGAACCAGGCCCTGTACTTGCTAGTACATACAAGAATCTGGTCCGAGAACACCTCAGACAAAGTTTCTTTGGGTATCTCCCCAGTCGAAATGCTGGACTCAGAACCCTAACCAAGAAAAGAGAGAAGACAGAACAGGTCCATCAACCATCTCAGCTATATGCTGGCAGCGAAATACAGGGAAAACGGAGACTTTATGATGGACTATGTCAATTGGTGGATTCTTCAAAGACCACCTAGTGCTTGGAGTGGCAAGATTGGCAGTGATTTATAACTGGTGAACTATCAAAACCACTTGAGCAACAACCTCAGAGCATGCCCTACATCCGGGACCTGGGGAGGGTGGGAAATTGGGTGGGCCTTCTCCCTTAATACCCCCTTTAAACATGAAGGAAACAATATGGAAATAATAGTGTTACCCACTTTCCTATAGCCCTTGAACCTTTTTACCCTAATTAACTATGTAAACATTGTCAGAAATATAATAAAAATATTTTTAAATGTCTGTTCATAAAAAAATAGTCTTAATAATGTTGAAATCACTGTTCATGACTAAAGATACAAATATGTTTATCTATCCTCCCTATGCAAATATTTTCTGTTATTTAAAAATCCCACACAGTTAAATGTTTTAGAATCTAAGTATTCCAAGAATGACCTGATTCAGAAGATGGAATTTCTATATTTTAAGCATTTGTCTTGATGTTTTTTTGAAACAAACTGTTCAACAAATCAACCTGTCAATCCTGTGGTAAATATTTTGACTATTCATAGATGTCACTAATGCCGGCAAAGTGACCATGGGTTCACTGCTCTCCAAGAGAACTTAGAAGACAGAAAGCTATCTCAGCATGTGCTGTGACAACTTAGACACACTCATCATCGGAAACATTATGGCCTGAAAGCTGCTGGTTGAGTTTACACTTTAATGAAATGATTGTGAAATGTGTGCAAAGTGCATTAGAAACTTAGCTCTTCACTTAATGTTGTAAATAATTTCTCTAACATTGTTTCGTTTAGGAAAATAAAATCCTTGTGAGGAAGCAATTAGAAAACAAATGTACATCAAGGAGAGAAATTGAGGATGGACTTAGGTTGACCTCAGAAGAGAATAAACCTTAAAAGAAATTTCATAAGCTTTAAAATTTGGCAAGAGAATTACAATATCTCTGATAATTAGACTTTCAACACATTTGGATTTGCTAATTGGATCTAAGTTCTCATTATCCTTTTTATGTAACTAAGAATGACATATCATAGGATGAATTTAATGCGCTTTTACAGTTGTAACCAACAATTAGCAGCCTTTTCCAAATTATTTTAATAAAGAAAAAGTGGGCTTTGTTGATTATATTGTGATTTCCTCTTAAGATATACTGTATGCATTTAGTTTTCTTAATTAAACACCTTGTGGGGAGCTCAAAGAGAAACTTAAGTCTCAATAAAAAGTACCTAAATTATGTATTTATGAGATGTTTGCCAGTATGTGGATGACTTTGGAAGCCATGGGCAAAATGCATTTCAGGGATGTCAGTCATAGTCATCGGGAAGAACCAGCACAAACAACCAGGTTCCTCTGCAATCACACAGTTAATCAAAATAGTCTCCAAATATGACAGCAGGTCTCGCACAGATTTTAAGTGTAGTTGCAGAATAGGCTCCCAAGTGTGGAGGCTCATGGAGTTTGTATTAGGATTAATAGCAGGCCAACAGTCCCTGTGCAGTTTTGCTCCTTGGGCTTTTATCATTCTCATCATCTCTTTCATGGCTCCGTAGATCTGACTGAGAGCCCTCCGTTGTTACCCCACTGAGATTTCAAGGTGGGAATTTTTAAACGGGTGACCCTCATAACAGATAAGAACTACATAAAGAAACAAAAATAAACCGGTATTTTACAGAGTGAAGAACAGAGAATTTTCTCAACCCACAAGAAAAGACTACTGCCCACATGTGACAAAAATGATTTCACTGAAAGAAAAGGGGGAAAAGCATAGTATTTTATATACTATGACTCTTTTGAAAACATACGGAATTTTCTCTCAAGTAACTTACTCATTTAACCATTACAAAAATATTACAATCCCCCTTCCCCAGTAAAAGTAGTATAACATCAAATAAAATTTATGACACTATAAAAAAGTCTTAATGTGTTCAGTCATTGATATATTAGAACAGATGTTATGTTGGAATTATCCGGGCTATTATTTTTCCAATTAGTGCTTTCCTGGGCCGAATTACTGGGTACATATAACTTCTCATTAAGTCAGATGTCCTCAGTGAGCCTTGTAAAGCATGTTGGGCACTGCCATATGCTATAGAATGATATGGGAAAGCAGGAAATGGCGTTGATAATTGCTTCATTTGTTATTAAAATAGAAAAAACCTGTGAAAGACTTTTGCTATGCCAATTATCCCAAAAATATCGTATGCAGTTTTCTGTGATGGCTGTAGAAGTGATCAGAGTTGCTTGGTCCCAAAAACTCACCAAAGCATTTTGATCTTTCAGCTTGGGTGCTGGAATCCCGTCACAGGCCTGAATGGATCACTGACTGACAAAAAATTGGAGAATAACATGCGTGGTGTGGTTCTACGTGTGGTGACTGTTTTGGTAAGTCTTGGCTGAGCCATGTTCTTTTGATTCTAGAGGTTACCTATCCTCCATTTCATTGTATATAATCCTAAGAGAACATTCTGCAAATTCAGACTATACTTTCTAAGACACTTAAACATTTTTATTATTGATTCCCATGATATCCCATGATTATTTTATTATTGATTCCCATGATATCGTTTGTAGGTATAGGGATTCCCAGTACCTTCCCTCCATCCATTCCCATTCCATACTCCCTACCAACTTCCCCCATATTATTACAGTAGTATAGTCCTTTAGTAACCATTACAAGTTTAGCATTCTGTTATTTAAGTGTACCATGGCATTGTAGGTATAGACAAAGCTAGAAAATTTAGTATCATATTGTTGAGGTATATTTTACAGTTTCATTGACACTCCTCCTTATTTTTAGGAGATGCATATTTTAGTGTACCTTCACTTCCCAGTATGCTAATCTCTGTTACACAGTTCAACTATGAAAATCTGTTTATAGATGTTCACCTATGTATCTATTTTGTTTTGTATTATGAATGTTGTCTTACATCAGAGAAAACATATTTGTCCTTTTGAGACTGATTATTTCATTTAGCAGAATGGCCTCTAGTTCGGACCATTTTGTTGCAAATGGTAGAACTTTGTTCTTTTTAATAGATAGTAGTATCCCATAAAATAGATGTGCCACAGTTTCTTTATCCATTCCTCTTTCAGTGGCATCTGGGGTATTTCCATGTTTTTGATATTGTGGATTGTGCTATTTTAAATATGGGGCTGCAGCATACTTTCTCATATACAGATCTCACTTCTTTTGGATATATTCTCAGGGGTAGGGTAGCTGGATCATACTATAGATCAATTTTCAGTTGTCTTAGCACTCTCTATACTGTACCTTTTCCTGCACTTGTCCACTGATTGTTGTTAGTTGATTTGTGTATGTAGCCATTGTCACTGGAGTTAAGTGGAACCTCAATGTAATTTTTACTGTACATCCCTAATAGCTAGGGAGTCTGAGCATAATTAGTCTTGGATTTGTTATTTTGAAAAATACCTGCTCATTTTCTTCAACCATTTCTTAACATGGTGGTTGTTTTGCTGCTGTTGAACTTCTGAATCTATTTGTAAATTCTGGATATTAGTCCCTTATCTGTTGTGTAGTTTGCAAAGATTTTCTGCCATTCTGTTGATTGCTTTGTTGTTGATTGCTTTGTTGCCTTGCTGTACAGGAGCTACTTACTTGATGTAGTCCCATTTGTTTATTTTGACTTTGTCTATGATTTTGGTGACTTCTCTAAGTTTTTGCCTACTCCTATATCATGTGGTGTGCTTCCAATGTTTCCTGTAACTAATTTGATGGTCTTTGGTGACACATTTAGGTCCTTGATCTATTTAGAATTAATTTTTATATAAGATTAAAGGTGGAGGTTTTTTTTTATTATTATTGTTTCTGCAAATGGATATCCATTTGTTCCAACAGTATTTGTTGAAGAAAATAACAATTTCCCTGCATTGTTTTCAGTTTTCTTTTTGAAGACTAGTTGGTTGTGTATGTGCGGGTTCCCTTCTGGGGTTCAAATTCTGTTTCATTGACCTTCTCTGCTTCTGTACCACAAACTGTTTTGGTTGGTTACCACTGCCCTATATAATATCTTGAATCCATCTTGAGCATGAATCTCCATTATGGTGAGCTAAATAAACATTTCGCTCTGTGTAAACATGGTATCCTCAGGTATGTTGTTGCAATGAAAGGTGGACTAATACAGAGTATATTGGAGAGTACTCACCACTTTATATTAAGTAAATCATTTAAATTTGTAACATCAGGTGTTTCTGTTTGTTCATTGTTTACCATAAATTAAATAGGCTCAGCATAATTTGTTGTCTTAAAAGTAGAATCTGAGTATTATCCATGAAAAGACATGTAAATGGTCATACACTCTACATTTTCTGGTGCTTATACTTTATTCCTGGTTATTGATTGTTTTATACATAATTATATTATGAGTACTTCCAATCTTAAGGTGATGTGCCTTCTGTATGACCCTATATATAAAGATGTGCATGTATACTCTATGAATCTACTGCCCTAAATCCTTTGAATGTATTACGTTATTTCGTTCTCAGAGTGTTTTCAGAAGACAGTTATATTATGACTTTCCAGTAATGGAAAAAGAAACTGAGAAATTCATATGGGGAAAAAGTTGGTGGGAACTCATATAATTAGTAGTGGCCAGAGTTGGAATTCAAATCCAGGAATTCTGAGTCTACATCACAGAACCCCTTCCTCTTAGCAACACATTATACCCTCTTCATTCCTTCTGTGTCTTTAAGATTTTATTTCACATATGAGTTGGAAATACCTAACTCTGAATACAGTGAAAGTGCGTTTTATTGGGAGAGCTTTGTAGTGACAATTATTTTAAATTCATTTCCACACTTAAATAGTGAATGAAAACAGATTGTGACCTTCTGTTTGCTCAGTCTAACCATCAACTCCAAAATCTTAAATTTTTTACCCTGCTAAAAGCTAGAACTAGGTTGGTCTGTGTTGGACTAAATTTGGCCACCTAACCATGATCCCTTTGTATTTTGAGTATTTACTTACAACACTTTCCAGAAAAGAAAAAAATAAGAGCCCATGGATGAAATCCCCTGGGTAAGATGTTTTGGCTCGCATTCTACTACAACTGACATCTATTCCCAGCTCTCTCCACTTGCACATCTTGGAGATTTATGCCATCAATTACACACAAGCTAATAAAATTGATCTTTGAAACTCTACTTCCTATCACTGTTAATGATCTTAGAAACCCCACTATTACTTACTTGAAGGAAATAATCTAATACTTATATTAAACTAAATTACTCAGCACTGTGTTGTTTGTGGCTCCAGGGTCAAAGAAATAGTTTCATTAATGGTTTGCTGAAGAGAGCTAAACACAGAGATTATTAACAGTGATGTGAAGATACTTCAAGCAATCAAGAATGTGTGCTGATGCACCAGCATTTTGATTAATAGGATGTTTTGAATTCCACATAGACAGATGGGCTGTGAGGTAGCAACATTATTCCCAAACCTGGCAATAGCCAGCACCACAGGGGAGAGATCTAGGGATATGGGAGCTGTGAACTCAAGTACGCTAAGGGAATGAAGATGCAAAATCATTGCTAAAGCTACAATCAGAGAAGAAATGTAAATAGGAGATATTCTAATCTTTTTTGTCTCTCCATTTCTCATTACAAATATCCAAGAGTGTGTAGATCAGCTCTCCAGGACACAGATTAGAAAGTTAATCCCAACTATGGCCTTAACTATTTGGATGGGGAAGCTAAGAAACAAGCACCGGTGCCTATCATTTGTTAGGACCTATTATAAGAAGCTTTTATATGTTTACTTATTTAATCCTTAGAATCCCTACAAGATCTGTGCTAATTACATTAGGCAATTGAAGAGTAAAAAACGCCTGAATAGCCTAATTAAATGTGCATGTTCATACAGCTAACAGGAGCCAGAGATAGGCTGCAGGTTCACAGATCCTGATTTTAGAAGCCTTGTCCTCACCACTCCAACCCTGTGCCTTCCAGATCAGAACGAACTCATGTTAGGCTCCAGTTAAATCTTGTTTAACTGTTGAGATGTGAAGGTTGCATGTTGCTGGTCTGGTGATGAAGCATTTTTTAAATGACATCATTTATAGACAACTTTATATTTAGCCATCACTAAAACCCAGTAACATCTCTCCAAATTGAAAGAAAAAGAATGAAAAAAATAAATAAAAAGTAATCTCCATATCTTATGTCCCTGTTCATCACTCTCTTTATATTTTCCCTGTTCAGTTCTATTTCTTAAGAAGTGGACCATAAGTACTTAAAAACATATGTGAACTATGCATTACAAATAGTTATGCAAAAATTTTAAATGTTTAGGTTCCAAAATAAATGTTTATATTGTATTTTCCTACTTTTTTCATAAAATTTTTGAGTATGTTCATATTAGCACAACTGCATGTGGAGGATTTTATTTTCCTCATTTGATTTCCTTGATTCTATAAATTTCAATAGCCATAGTAGCCAAATCATGCCATTCAGGTGTCTGTGTTCATGATCATTTGTGAAAAAGTTAGCGGAAACATGGCTGAGTTATACTCATAAGGCTTACATAACCACAAATGAAAAGAAAGGCACGGAAAACTACAGCACAAAGAACAATGCACCTGAAAAACACAAATTGATGTTTGAAAGACACTCATTCTTTGCCTGATTTGGTTGGATTAAACCAAACACATGGCATCTCTACGGAAACATTCCTTCACATATAAACTTGAGAACTGGTCATTGAGCTGAGCACCATCTAGATACTGAAGGAATATAAAACACAAAGGAGGCTGGCGTGGTATGTTGTGAGCCATGTGGTAAACCTAGGTGACGTTTCCAACTCCAGTCTTCAGCCTGGCCCTGCCCCAGCTGTGTTAGCCATATGGGGAGTAAAACAGCAGATGAAAGACTGATGCTCCTCACTGTTCATTCATTCATTCATTCTCTCTCTCTCTCTCTCTCTCACTCACGCACTCCCTTCGCCTTAGCTCTTTCAAAAAAGACAATACAAAGATCCCAACTTCGGGGAATTTCATTTTTATAGGATGTCTTCCAAAGCATTCAAAATATTCTTGAACGGATGCAATCTAGTTATACATTGAATTGGCCTAATACCACAAAAATAATTCTATTAACTTTCTATAAATACTTGTGCATGGCTAGAATTTTATGGCAAAATGTGATAGTTTTTCTTTGATATTTTAAGATCGCTGAAATTATGGCGTTTCAATTGCTACTTGTGATTACAATTAGCAACATTTTTGTCTTTATTAGTATTAGGTAAAACCATACATATAGTAATGAAATATTTTAAATATATGATATTGTCACAAAATGAAGTTATTGGACATTCCTAGAGTTACTTTTAAAAATACTTAGCAATAAGTCATCACAAAGAGAAAGACTGC